ACAGACAGCCTCTTCCCAATATGCGTTTTTGCAATTTGCATATATGCAAAAACGCATAAAAAGCACTGGTAATGACCACTTATCGAATTTTGAAAGCAAAACCTGAGGTAAAGGCGGCCTTTTACAATGGCCCCGTTCGATTCCGCCGTGCAGTTTGCAAGCGATAGTTGCTGGATGCCATTGCATTAGCATAAACATATGGTAGCCATCACAGATGATCATCGTTATCGCTGGGATTATGTACAGTGCACTGAATATGCCCATCTTCACCATAAGCTTCTCCAATTTCGACGTATCCGTTCCCTATTACCTTCTTTATTATACATATTTGTCACGCAAATTCACATTAATCGGTCTTCCTGAGAGAAACTTTATTTGCTTACTTCTTTTATTTATTTTATTTTTTGCAAAACAACCAAAAATAAGAAAGCCGCCGGAGCCATTAGTATTAGTATCCCATGTTCGTGCTATTCCTAGAAAATTTTATAACGCAGAGCGCAGCAGTGCCAAACATCTTACAGAACAAATGCAAAATACTTTTTAAATACTTTGAAGTAACGATACTTTTCAAGAGGAAGAACTTACCCGCCTCCTGAACGAATCACGTTCGCGACACATACTCGAGAAGCCGGCCACAATCAAACAACTTCCAACAACCACGAACACTAGCTTCGGGATAATGACGAATCCAAGCAAAGTCCAGGGATCAGCATTGCCCACAGAACACAAACCAGTTAGCTCATTTGCATCCACCTGCAAGAAGATTCAAATGAACAAATACAAACAATGATTTTGTCTTCACTGGTTTTACGCCAGTTATGTATTCTGAACTTCACGATCCAGATACTCCCTTCCCTCCTTCGCTGTCCCAAACTAAACCAAATAACCAACCCTTTTTCCCATCTGTTTTTCTATTCTTTTTGGTGATTATCAGCTTAATTCCTCGTCCTCCACGGCAAATTTATCACATTTTACTTGAGCCCGCTATCTTTTTCGCTTTTGGGTGCTCTTGAACAGATCTGACACATTTTTACCCGGATCCTCCTCAATACATGAGCAAAGGGGCACGTTCGAAGTTTTACAGCACCAAGAGCACCGATTGTGACGGGGAGCGATGAACAACTAATGGTACTAACGACAAAGCAAACTACCATTCGGGTATCCCAGGAAGGGTGGTCTATGCACCACCAAACAGGCAATGGGCATCAACTGGAAGCATGCAGCCCAGGATCGAAAAGCGTGGCGTAACTGCTCCCGGCGTGTGGTTGCATCCTAGTAACATCACTAAAATGGTAAGCCCACGTTGACACTCCGCGCGGTCTTGGCGATTTTACAGCATCGTTTTTTTTTTAGATCCCCCGAGCTGTTGAAACAGTAGAATAGACAAACTGGACTAAGCGTCATGTGAAAAAGAAAATGAAATCGTCCCTGAAACGGCGCCTCTGTTTTCTTTCGGTTTAAAGACGCAAAGGCTGAAACTTCACGGACGTGATGATTTATTAGCTCCAGATGCCAGTCAGATAATTTCTTTAATGACCTTGATTATCCATCCGTATGCCCTGGAGGTGGCTTGCAACGGTGCACAATTTATTGTCCTGAACCGACGGTCAGCAAACTTAGATTACACCCAGCTGAGCGGCCATCGTCTTTCTCTCTCCCTCCGTTTCTCCGACTCTGTATTCCTGCATCTACAGGGGTGGTGGCATACTACTCTATGCTTTGGCACTTCAATCCATCATTTATTTCGCGTGAAACTTCCAATTAGAAAGTTCCAAAAAGAATTTTGAACGTGATCTAAATTTGATGCCCTCTTAAGGTCCATCTAATTTTTCTTATTAATTTCTCTCCTCAAATTTTGTGTTTAAAATCTTCCTCCGCCTTCGATGCACTTCCATAATATAACATTTAAATAATTGTTCAAAATTAACAGAAAAACATCAATAAAATTTCGAAGCAAACGTATAAGTAGAATGTGATCTAATCCCTGAAGAAATCATAATTTCGCAAAAGAACTGGAGTTTGAACAACCTTATGAGTTGTGAGTACGGCGATAGTAAGAACGGCTGGAAGCGCCCAAGCAACCAGATGAAGATAGCTGCTCCAAGCATCGATGCCCTCGGGTACCCATTTCCGTGCTGCTGACAGGTACCTACAAATGCAGTGTAAATTAGTCAGCTTTAGTCAAAAACACCCTTAATTCAAAAAACCCGATCACTGGAAGTATCATTTACGGCCAGTTTATCAACTGTATTTTCCTTTTGCAGTTTTAATCGTTAATGAGTTACGCAGTGGAACATGAAAACATCTTCTAGCTGACTTTGTAAGTAAATCCACCGGATGAGAGGGAAACTGACCCCTTTTTTGCATCCACACACAAATTTTATTTAACAGAAGTGTCTAAACACTCAGGATAACAGGACCATCCCAGATACCAGTTTGTGAATCTCATATTAGTGTTGTTACTGATATGCTTCCACATGCCAAACGCAGCTGTGTAAGACTTTCCGATCCTGAGCTGCATACCTCCAATTAGTACCACTGGTTTGTTCAAATGTATGTGCGCACTTCCACATGGAGTGAAAGGATAAGAAAGCCGGAAAATACTAACTGAAAATCATGGAATCTTGTTAAAAAAATCAGGAAATTTGTAGAAGTTCATATATTTTACTGATCTAAAGATAACTATGATGAACAGGGTGAAGCGGCTATGACGTCCTGGTTTTTAGAGTATTTTTTGCGATTCTTGGAGAAATGATCACTTGCACCGTCCCCTTCCTTCTTTTTCCTTCCTTGCCTTCTTTCAGCTCTTCGCCATCGTACTTGAAACGATTCTGCATTTTAGCATACCAAAATTTTCTAGAGATGAGAATATTGCCTGGACTCGTTCTAGACCCACGTTCCTTACTAATGATTTTGCAAGCCCCAGAGGGTTTTCGGCGGATAAAATAAACAATTACATTTCTGCAGATACTACTGAATAAAATTAGGAACAAATAGAAATTTCTTAAACCTATTCAGCAAAAGCAAGCTGGGCCTAAAGACGGAAAGAAGAAATGAAACCGAACTGTTGTGGGCTGAACTGATTCAATTAAGCGACGATAGCTGCTCCTACTATTGGTCACTAATGTCTCGCTTTTCTGTGAGAACTCTCATGAGCCTCCACATACGTAACGGGATAGAATAGAGCTCCATCCTAGAAAGCAGGAATAAATTCTAATCCTTTCTCGAAAGCATTGAAATTTCATTTCTTTTTTCCAATCCAGCTGCACAGCTTAAAAAACACTTATTCCCTCTTTTCCGAAAAACACATTTTAAATTTCATGTTTAATTTTAAAAAAATATGAAGCGTTTTAGACCTTCTTTAATTCAAAAAAATGGCGCCCTTTGTTCGAGAGCAGCAATTACAAAACTGACTTTACAAAAAAAAATTATTAAACAAATGAGATTCAAGAAGGACTGACAACACTTCACCCAATGTATAGGTGCATTTGAGTAACATCAAAAACAATCACCACATCGGCTGTCTGGTTAGTCGAGGGATCTTTATGAAAGAAAAAACCGTCAACAAAGTTGGAAGTTTATGTTGCTCAAATGTTTACTTTTGAGAAAAAAAAACAATTTTCAAATATATCCCTCATCTCAAAGTGACACTAAAAGACAAAAGTTAAAACTTTCCCCGTATTCGCTCCCTACGAGAGGCTTAAGCATTCGGAAAGTAAAAGATCCAGTAATAGCAAGCGCCAGTAGCAACCAGTCGCTGGCAAGGCTCTCGATGGCTCCCTCTTTCAAAGCTTGCTTATAAGTAAACTGATGAGGGAGGAGGGAGAGGAGAGGACGAGTTGACCCTCTGGTACATGCTGTTACCAATTTACCGCTGAAAAGAATGAACGAAACGCAGGTAGTCGTCAACAACGTTTTCTGAAGTAAAGCTGTGGGGAAAAAAACCTAAAAAAAACTGATTAAACCATTGTTTCAGCTTCTTCTTCTTCCCGTTAAAAATTGAATGAATATATCAAAATACGAGAACGCACCAAGTGAAAGTAAGCATAAGCCACCACAGGCTACTGGCCACCGAAAAGTAGTAGTTGATTATGAATGATAAGACGCACGGCGTGTTGTCCAGTGCACCGACAATCAGGAAAGTCTGGCCGGTTGGTAACCGGTCGCAAACGATTAATTCGTACGGAAGGATCGCTCGGCTCAACGGTGGTAGTGAAATAAGCATATAGCATGCGGACAGGTAAAATATCGACCTAAAATTTGCTCTTCATGCATTTCAGTATAATAGAAATGGGTGAAGCGGGTTCTTGAATGGTCCCAATCAATCTTTAACAAATACGCGCGGAAAGTTTGCCAAATAGTCTACATGATCTTCGTTCGGAGCTCTACATGGGACGATCTACTGAAATCTTTTCAGCATTGCACAGAATGGAAAGATTGGTAGCTCTGCAGACGAAAACAGTAGGAAAAAACTGATGAAACAATAACTGATTAGAATGGGAATGAAAACTGTTATTTACTTCAAACTATTACTACCTCAGTTCCACTGTCTAAGAAAAACAACAAAAATTATAAACTCCACTGCGCTCTATATCCTTTTTTCGAGGAAAAACGCCAACCCGGTAGCTCTTGTGAAAAATTTCTCTTTCTTCGTGCACCCACCTAGCAACGTGCATTACCAAAAAATACAAATAATTAAAAACAAATTCAGTTTATTGTTCAAACTCGTATTTAACTTTTATAATGCTACCACAGAAAATGCAGACTCTGCCGAAGAGGAACAAACCAGCGGCCTATCATTTCCCCTGCTACCTTAATGAAAGGTTCCTAGATTCACCGTCGCTAACTACTAGGGAGTTGGTGCAATCCAGTGGATTTATGCGATTACAAATTAGAAATTAATGATTGCAAATTTTATATGATTTTAGATTAACAGCTGCACCAAGAAGTGTGCGGTAACATTATTAGCACCGGAACTTCATACCAGCTGTCTAGGCGGCCTCACTAGGTGTAGGCACGAGCGAGGCAATTCTCCAAAAAACTAGTCACCTACCTTCTCGGAACTTTATGAACATCCTCAAACGGTTACTTTTTTAATCAAAAATCAGAATTCTTATCACGTTTCCATCCTCTAGAAAAAATAGCTGATGGCACTCAAAAGTTGCCTGAAAACAATTTTTTTTCCAGGGATGTTCCAGGAATTCTACTTATTTATGTCGGGAAACGACCAGATAACTCATCGAAAGAATTGAGTTTTAATTTGCAATTTATGGGCCGAAAAGCGAATGAATGAAATGTAGCATTGAAATGGCGTTTCGAACACAACACCATTCCTCTACAACTTGCAGAGAGCAAAACAACAATGAGGTGAAAACGATTATCACCCCCTTAGAATCCTATTATTCCTGCGGGACAGCTATAAAATGTGAGCAGCTCTATGATAAAATAACCTGTTTCACGACACCGTTTCAAAGTCTAATGAATGAGACACAAAATAACTTAAGGCATTCCAGGAATTTTAAATTATATTTAAAATTACTTAAATGCCTTAAGTTATTTTTTGAATTTTAAACTATATTTATTTTTCACTGCAACAATAAAAAATTTTTTGCAGCAGTTTTCAAACAACTGCTCCCATCTAATGCAGTTTCACTGATAAGAGTGATCTTTTAAAAAAATTTTTTTGGACTAAAGTACAGACATAACGCTTTTTTTTGGTTCAAACTTTGGCAAGTATAAAATTGGCTTTAGGTTATTAACCCTGCACAAGCGAAATCTGATTTCATTCATTCCTTGCGTCTTGATTCGTGACCTCTACGTTCCGAAATAAACAGATACTGTAATCAACCAAAGGAAGTAATTCATGAATGTGAAATTTTGATGTGATAGCTCCGCGAAAGAACAGGTTTGCATGTTTGCGCCAGTTTCCACATGCGTATAGCCAAGACTAAGACGTTAGATCATACATGAACAATACTGAGGGGAAGAAGGAGGACGGCTAAATTTGCAAAAAAGAAATCAGGAAAATTAAGTAAACCGCAAGTAATTGTCACAGTTTTTAATAAATATATTTCGTGATCCGTTTTCTTACTTACAATGAGACCGATGCTCCAAAACTCGAATCCGTAGAGTAAAAAGATTGGAATTAGGCGTCATGTATGAAAAGAAATTTCACGATATTGTCTGTGTTTCATTCCTCAGCTGTAAACACAGACCGCACTATGCATGCGGATAGGAGTGGGGATCGTCAGTACAATCTCCTATCTGCCATGTATTGAAAGGGCTCGTAATTAATTTGCAAGAAGGATAAAGTCGAAAGTTTCACGGAAGCTTCACCCCTAGTTCTTTTTCGGATACTGGCCCTAACAATGATATTTTTCCTTATGCGTTTTGCGCTGAACACCATAAAACACATTAGATCCGCTCCATATGTTATGCTGCAAGCTCTCCATCTTGTCTGGCCAATACACATCAATCCAGACTACAGCGTTTTCTATTACCTCCATTACTTCAGCTTCCCTCACTTCCCCCTCCCTTGCAAATTCATCTTTGAATTCGGGTCTGCTTTCACGACACAGGTGTATCGGATATAATATGCGATCGAGAAATATTGGCAGTCCTAACGATAGTTTGTGCCGATGCACCGCAAAAGGAAAGGGGGAGTCAAGCAAGCAGTATGATTTTTATTGGCCTTAAGGCCCCCATTTGTGGCCTTTCCTAATAAACATCATGCATTGTGCCTATGTGAGAATAAGCCAGTGCTTCTCAAGTGCTCCCCTCGGAGTGGCTTAACAATCCAGAGCAAACATTCTAGTTACAATCATCATTTGCTGTTGTTACTTTGCCGGAAAGCTTTCTGACAAGTAATTGGACGAGCTGTAGAAGGGGGGATATGAAACAATTGGCAAAGACAACAATCTGTGAGCTGCTGTGATCCGTTGAAGCTGCACTCGGCATATTGGAACCAGCTGGACAATTCTCAGAAATAATTAATTACTCCATCTAAAGCTAGAAAGCAGTGCCAAGATTTCTAGTGATCAAAACAAATCCTTTGCTTACAAGGATTCTGCTAAGAAATGGGAATAGTTCCTAGATCAATTTATGTAAATAGCTATTTTGAATTGCAAAGTAATCGTTTTATGTAGAAGTAGCTATTTTGCACTATTTGCATTACAACAACTGCGTTTCATGTGCATTTGGTTCTTTTATCTTGCATTTATTTCTCCAAATTTTAATAGAATTTACAGTTTTTGGAGAGAATAAACCATTACATTATTATTCGCCATCACCATCACCTACTTTTTTCTAGCTTTTTCTTTCTCTTCCTGGATGAGGACTGGTACTGATGAATCCCTTCCTTCCCGTAACTTATTGCTCTTTCTTTGTATACAGCTAAAGGATGAAACACAGAAAGACTATTTTTAAGTTTGTCATATTTACCACTTTTTGGATTCACATTATCCCTTCCTAATTCTTTTCTTCCTTTTTTTCTACTTCAGTGGATATAATCACAAGCCAGCAAGTGAGCAGCGTAATGTTAGCTTTTCCACTGCCATCAAAGCTATGTTTCATCCTCCGAAAAAATTCACATTTTTGAAGGAAAGCTAATCAAGCAATTTCAGTTCCTTTTCTTCTGCTTCAAACAGAAATTTAATGGCACTGTCCAAGCAAACGCAGTCTGTTCCTGTAAACCCTAGCAACAAAATTCCCAGTGCTCACATAATACTGCTGCTGCTGTTGCTCTTTTGAACTATTTTTCGTTTAAGGCTCTCAAAAAACAATGATTTTATGTATTCCCCCGAAGGACCAAGCTCGTTATAGGCCAATACTACTTGGAAAATGTGATTTGTCTCCCAGTGGTACCAAGATTGCTCGAACAGTCAGTATGCAAAACAGATGTTACTAATGTTAATGGGATGCACTAAAAGTAGAACTAAGTCCAGTGAAGAAATTTCGGATGCAAACCAACTTCGTTCGATGAAAAGAAAAGCTCTTCCTGAAAACGGTAGGGGAAGTATTGTTAAGGTAGCAACCATGCGGCACAAATTAAAGGATAGGTTTAGCTTGGTATAAACCTGTATAAAAATTATGACATCAATAAAACTTCCCATCAACTCATCCATTCCCAGGCATAAAATGGCAAAATGCGTCGTGGTCGATGCTATTATTCCATGCCCATTTATTGTACTATCGAATGCATAAATAACGTCATGCTGATAATTTTTGCTCAAAAATGCCTTTCATACTCTTCCTATTATTAAATGCCGCAAATGAATCAATATAAGAAATCCTTATTACGCGAGTTGCTATGAAATATTTCGATGAGAAAGACCTAAAACGAAAAAAAGACAAAGTTACCAGCTGCATCAGCGTCGAGAAGGAGCGCGATGATGAAACAACAGCTAATCTGCGCTTAAAGGCAAAGTACGGAGCAGGCATGAAGCCGGAGGAACGGACGGTCTTACGTAACCGTTCCTGGAAATACCAAAAATGCCAAGTCCATCCGGGTAATCAGTGTAGGTATCCATGTTACTGATGTTATTGGGATGTTCGCACAAACCAGAGACAGCCAGGCCTTTTGACCCTGGACTAAAAAAATCTTTTGTTGCTACATTCAGTAAGTTTGAATGCCACACTTCGAAAAGTTAGCAGACCTTTCCGGAAACCGAAATCGTTGTCGATCGATGATAAATGTGAGCACAGTGAAAGCAGTAACACCGAGATTTATGGATGCCCATAAAAGCATCCAGAATCGAGCGAACTCTTTTTTCGAAGCATCGAACATCCCCTCGCGATTGCACTGAAATGCACAGAAGCCCCGACGATCGGTGGGATCCAGATTGACCAAGTCATGCGGGCACGATGGCATCGCTCTCGAGAATACTCGACTCTCCAGACTTCTCACTGCTTCCTGCTGTTCCGTATCAACCTGCCTGAAAAACCACTGATACGATCTAATTCTTTCCTTGGCCCATACTGATATGGATTCAAAATTATTCGAATTTCTACTTTTCATTCAGTTTTTATCCGGTGCATCCTCGGTAATTTTCCTCTGGAAATTCATCCAAAAAGGTTTAAAATTCTGAAACTGTGTGAAACTTGTCAGACTTTTTAGTGTCTCAAAAATGTTTTTTTCATTTTAGACTGATTTTAAATTGGAATCATGAATTTCTGCCTATTCAAGAGACCTCACCTTATCCCCGATTATCCGCGGCCGCTTCCACTTCATTTCGAGGAGTTATTCCAACTCGCCCTTATCCGTATTCAACAGTAAAGCAGGACTTTGAAGAAATTTTCATAACTCCTTTCAGTAACATAAAATTGGTTATTTGGATTTAATCACTGTGTTTTTCTAAATCCAGCTCAATCCCCCTCTTATCCAAACCATCACAAGCAGGGTCGAAAGGAAACGGGAACTGGACAAAATTCGGGGAAGGTCTAAAACTCGTTTCTGTTGCTTCGATTCAGATGCACGAAAACATAGCATAATCATCAATCATCACCACTGTACTGTCACTACCATCACAATAATCATTGTTATCATTATTATCGGCGCTGTCAGTGATTGTCACGGCGACAGTGAGCCGCGCAATTCTGATGTCAAGTAATGTCGGCAAGAACGGAATCAGAGAAGACTGTGGTGATTAAAGTTTCATTTTATTTGTACAGCGTAGATCGTTCGCAATCGAAGCGGCTGATGAAAGGAGAAGGCAAATAATACGATTTTAGCGCACCGATAACCAAACCTTATTGCTCGGCCTGTGCTTGCTATTCAGACCTGGATAATTACAAAACTTCCGAGTGCGGCACAAAGTGAACACTTTAACAACCAGCCATCCCTGCAATAACCCCCGGACCTCCCAAGCCCTTGCCACCTTCCTTCCTCTGTTGCTCTTTTTCGTGCTCGTTGAACCCTATCTCATACATTTCAAAAAAAATAATGGAAAATAATTCTAAAAAACTGTGGAAGCATGATGAATTTTGGCTGGATGAAACGCATGCCCGAGAAGGAAGTTACTTAATAATTTGACAGAATTCAAATTCCAAAAAAGTTAAATTGTCTCTTGTTACTCAAGTTCGTGTTTTTGAAGAAATCCGAAATGCAAATTTCAGTTCTAGCGTAGATTAACTTTCTTTCCATAACTTGTAAATAAACTATATGCACGAAATCCAAATTTGAAGTTTGTGGCGCTGCACAACTCACTTAGGGACTTGTTAGTCATAAACTTACTCAGGTCCTAGGTAGCTATTTTGATCGTTCGTTGGCTTCATGCACAAATCCGGTGCTTCTGGAAAACGACTGCAATTCAACGGCTCTGGCCAATCAATTCCGAACTCTTGCAATATTACTAAACAGTCGCGCTTCACCTGGAACAGTGAAAGGGTTTGAACTATTGAATTCGGGCTTACAAGGAAGTCTGAAAATATGAAAGATTGGACCTTACCAATATCAAAAATGTGAATCATTACAAATTTCGGAAGAGTCATACAGGACCGATTTTATTCAAAGTGTCAAAGAACACCATTAAATGTAAACGGCTAAGAATAAAATTTTTTTATTCGGCTTTTTCTCAAATTTAGCAAACGTCGCAGATGGTTACCAATACATTTCTCAAATTCCGTAAATTTTTATTTCCTTTTTTTTTGTTAAATTCATTATACGCAATGCGGAAAAATGAAAGGTGTAAAATGGAAGGATCCATTGGAATGTCCACATTGAAGATCATCAAACAACAATTGTTCGAAGTATTAAAGTGCAGTGAACCAAATTAATTTCGGCACATTAGAAATTTCTTTAAAGGGAGATCCACACAGGAGCAAATTTTCCTGGGAATGATGCTAGAGCAGCAGTAATGATAGTGATAACAATAATAATAACAACATAATTAGCAAGTGGTACCCGCGAGGAAGTAAATGACCACTAGAGTGACTCTCGAAAAGGATACACATAAATCGAACAGTCGGGGAGAACTAACTTACTAACTGGAAGTACGCAGCCCAAGATCGGGGGGCCTAATATAGCTGCGTGGAGCATACTGGAGCATCTCGGTAATGTCACTAACATGAGGTTCCTGTAATGGCAGCCTATGTAATCTTGGTATTCCTGGTTTTGCGTATTTATTATTTTTATAAAAGCATTTGAGACAGAGAAAAGAAACGAGGATACTAGCTGGCAGTGAAGACTCTTTTCGCGAAAACTCTGTAAGCACCTAATGGAACAAATCTTTCGACAAATTTTGGATTCACTCAAACATAGGGCAGCAACATCACCAGAGAGTAGTGGGTTGCACGTGATTCTGGAAAACGAAATGCAACGGAGACTAATGCAGCTACAATCCAGAAGCCAGGGCAAATCAATTAACTTTAGTACCTCTGACAGCGAAGAGTGACTCCCATAATTCTTGGAACAAGTCAGAAATTATTGTTGCTCATTCCATTTTATTGCCCACCATTGCAAATTTAACACTTTCAGAGCAAAATCACTGAAATTCCCATGCTACCTCAACAGTTTTGGAGGAAAGGAGGCTCGCCTGCGCTGTAATGTGATATAATATTATCGGGGAATCGATGGGTACTTGTACGTGGAGGGGTATCATCGATCAGCACTGGCCGGCAAAAGGATCATCGTTGCCGGGTGATGCTTTATGGGAGGTTGTAAATGGGCAATAAAACGGACCCTTTGCGCGATCGATGGTTCCCTTTCTATCATTATGACCCCTCTCCCCAACGAAAAATCGAACTGTTCGAAAAATGCGATCAATACTTTCTACTTAGTACTTTCTATCTTTTGAACAATAATTTTGGCTTATGCGTGATTAGTCTTGCTGCTTAAATTTGACCGATTAGTCCCTCTTCCCTGATCACAATATCTGATTTCTTGCAACTGCATCTTACACTAATTTTGATAAAAAAAAGTGCCAAATTACTTCTGCCGGGAGAGTCACCAAGTCGGTAATCCTTTTAAAAAAGAAAAAAAACGCCAGGATCATCAGAAGTATTATTTTAACCAATGCTTCATTTCCCCTCCCCCCTCCTCCCGGACACTAAAGAGGTGACTAAAAGTAAATCCATATGAAATTAACGCAGTGATTATGAAATATCTCGGTTAGGAGAACTAGAGGAGGTCGCACATCTTCAAGCGTTAAGAATCTGCTTGAGAGTACCAAAACCATCTGGACAATTGAAGTAAAGATCCGATGTTAGTGATGTTACTGGAATGCTGCAGCACGCTGAATTCTTTAGAAAAAAGCGAGTTTCATACTTTTAACGACTGCATCCTTTAAAAACCCGAAAGCAACCAGAGATATTTATATCAGACCCGAAATGAAAAATGAAATAGTTCTAGAAAGAGAATGTGCAAGGATGCATTAGTGAATTCAACGGAGATCAGCGTCTTACTTAAATCCAAGAGATACTCAAATCGAAATTTCACTAACCTCAGGCGAATGTAGAAATTATACCTTATAAAGCTTATGCGGACTTTAACTTGACACTTTTTTGATCTCAAGTAAGATAAAAGCGATATCGTGGATTTCAAGAAAAATAACGAAAATGTCTTAGGAGCATCAGGAAGAGGTAAGAAGCTATCCTCACAAAAGGCTTCTTGAGGGGTGCTGCCAGCGATATTCCGTTTAATTGGAAAGATGTGTTGTAAATCTTACAAGGGTGCCCAGGCTACACTACTCTCTGGCGGCCTCAGGGTGATGGTCCCCGTTTAAAAAAAAGTGTTTTCGGCTGCCACATTTGCTTGGTGCAAACGAACCTTGGTCTATTTTAAAAGGATTCCATATACAGTTTGCGTGGAAGAGGAGGCTGAAGAGGGGTGAAATAAATGGTTCGCGACGCTCTGAATACTGCTCTCCGATGACAGGCGATGGAGCGCACGATGGTGGACATGCTCTCGCTCGCCAGTACCATTTACTTGAGATTTATTACCAAATAGGGCTGCTGCATTTTCTCATAAATTTAGAATCGAAGCGAATTTTTTCTTTTTCCCAGAAAAAGCTCCAAGCAACACCAATTCAAGGATTGCCACTATCGCACACACACGCACACACCCCTGCATTATAGCTATTTTAACGCTTTACTCTCTTTTTTAAATTATACTTTTAAATCATTACATATTTTTAGGCAATAATAAACATTCGGCCAAGACTGCGTTACTAGTAACTGGACGCAATCACTGATGAAGAAATGAATCTGTTGAGAAATAAGCAAAATAGTGCAGCCCCACGGTCCTTATCCCTCATTCAGGATATTCTGTGGGAATCTTTTTTTTTTGCAACACTACCTTTTATGTTGTTTTTACTATCTTTATGCTATTTTTTTTTCACTTATTTAAAATCACTTGAAAGCACTACCATCGTACTGATGATGTCCAACTGTGGGGCTCAATATGAATGTATACGATTTCACGGACCAAAACATTCTCGTTGTCTATTTGATTTTATGTTGTTTTCACATATTTTTACTAAATTATGCCTTTAGACCATTACATATTTTTAGGCAATGGTAAACATTCGGCCAGGGATTAGACTGGGTCAAAATTATTTGAGGGAAAAGAAAAAAATGCGAGGAATTAGGTGGAGGCATTAACTGCGGATGAGGGAAAGAAAACAAACGTTGTGAGTTTCATTAAAGTTCAGGAGAGAAGGAATCTGAGGTAGAACCGGATAAAGGGAATCAGTTAGACAATGAATATGGTTTTACAGGTTAAGAACAAGTACCTCTTCGCATACAGATCGACAGCTGGTAACCGCTTGTGGCATATGTTCCGGGCACATCGGCGCAAATACGCTGCATACAAAAAACTTGATATGTGGATTGCACTTTGTCTTGATCAACGGCTTAAAGTGTTCCGTATGGGTCTGTAGCTAAAACGAATTTCTATTGACAACAAAATAAAGAAAATTATCGAACTTTCTGGACTGGCCAGGAAAATGGCGTATTTTACAACGGATCTACCTAAATGGTTAAATGGGAGTGAAAATAACTCCATAAAATGAAGGAATCGAAGCCTCATTCATTTAGGAGAGATATTAAACTGCAACTCGGGAAGACAGATTAAGCGGAATGCGCCAAATTTAGGTGACAAATTAACTGAAAAAATAATACTATATTTTGTTCAGCTGCATTCATCAACTATGATTCTCTCACTATGCAGCAAGCAACTTTCCGGCTGTTCTGACAATGCAGCATCGCTTGGTGGTCACCTGCTGGTGGCTTTAACTTGAAGGAAACACCAGGAGGTTTTTCAGTCAGAAGCACATAAAAATAATAACAGAAAAAAAGTAAAAATTGAGAAATCCTGATTCAGTCAGCATTAAAAATTAATTGAGCATATATTTCCATATCTTGGTGGTGTCAGGACCTTGATTTCTAGGACTTCTCAGCAGTAAAGGTCAAATGAGGTGAAGAAAAAAAGGGACAAATTTTTTTACAAACATTAATAATCACTGATATTCCTTTTCACCATAGTGTTTTGAAACCAAAAAAAAGGCGGAAAGCATTTTTTAGAGCTTTTTTGCAAAAAATTACTGGCCTTTTTTCTGTAAAAAAATTCTTATTTTTAGTGAGGCTTTTCTGCAAAAATCCTTGTTTTACAAAAACCTTAGAAATGCTTTCTCAGCTCTTCGCAGCTTTGATTCGTGTGCAGTTTCTCACTTATTCGCAATAAAAATAAAAAATTATGCTAATTTTCGAAGCCAAAAAAACCAGCCGGAAACTCTCTTAGCTCTCAAGCTGTGCCTTTCCCTCACCAAACACATCATTTGAGGCGCATTTATAGAGCGATTGGCAATATTCAATTTATTTTGAAATATGAGGGAATTTCGTGAAAGATAGTGTTAAAGAAAAAAGCAAATTATGGCTGCATTTGTAGAGGAGTGATGGAAAACGGACACTGTGTTGTTCGGACTGAAGTAGCGAGTTCGCGGAATAGGTGTAATTGTAGGGGATATCTTTACACAGCGGTATTTCAATTGGCTCGCAACGGCTTCTGCTGGCCTGCAATTTTTCACTCCTTATTAAATCTACAATTATAATAATTCAGCAGTACAATAAAAAAATTTTATCCGACAATAAAGCACAACAAGCAAAAATTGATTGTTTTAGAAAAATTCCAAAATCAAAATCCCTTCCGTATTTATCTTCAGTGAGAAGCGAACGCACATGGGGAGTAACTCGAGCGGTAGCAAATGCCAAAAATAATCACCCACTGGCGAGGCTATCGATGGCTCTCTCTTTCGAAGACTGTTTACAAATACACTGGTAGGCCAGTGGTTTTAGCAAAACAGCGAGTTATAGACAGTCCCAAAATACCCCGGCTTTTTTCCTTCGCGAACTATGCCTTGTATGCACATAGTTTCCGGATGAACATAGATACTTTCGTGGGGTTTTCTGATGCCCATATTTTTTAGAGTATTTCAGCTTTTTGAACCTATCCACAAATTCAACACTCTTGCTTCCATTTAGCTATTTTCTCCCCACTTTCGCAACGCCATCGATTTTTGATCTGGAGAAATTCCGGATCCTAATTTAACTCCCCACAAATTCCACATTCTCTTCCTCTTCTAAACTTCCCTTCTCACACCGTTTGTAATTTTAGCGTATAAATGAAATTTTGTTCCAACTCAGGAGCCAGAGGCTTGGCTACCCCTAGCGAAAAGCAATCAAATCGCTTGCAGCCGACTAATCGCATATGTTGGACATATAAGCGTTGGAACTGGGTTATCTTAAGTTTGAGACTACTATAGGGTCTAAATACTGCTCTTTGATCAGTGGATCTGGTATAGCTTCGCAAAACCAAAAGCTTGGTAATCTTACAATAACGGATTTCGGAAAAATTTCACATTCCATTGCTATTTTAGTTTCTTAGCGAAGCCGGTTGATGAATTAGCAATATTTAAGGATTCCAAACCTGCTCAAATATGGATGCAGCGCTTTGGCTGACGCATAAAGAAAGAAGGATGATAAAGGTAAGAAACGCCTGGCATATTGTGCATCGGGACATCGACAGATACGCTCCTTGCTAGACGCCTGCCTTGCGCCCTTTTTTGACCTTCAAAACGCGAGGTCGTTACTATTTAGCACGTTTACATGGAACAAACCAATACGCGGTAATACAATTTCTGGCGAACAGAAGAAATATGAGAAAAAAGTAAACTGACCAATGGACCTGAAAAGACAACTGACA